AAAAAAATATTAACGTAACATATGCTCAATAAATATTTATTGAATAAAAAAAGTACATTATTTAAACCTCACTTAGAGCACTGATAATTAAAGCTACTTTAAAATAATTAAAACAAATTTTTAAAAATTTGTTTAAAAATTTTTCTAATATGTATATGCCAATTCTTTATTTTTAAAAATAAAACTTGTTAGTAGATGACTCAGTATCTTGGATTGTCTCAATATCATTTTGAATAATATTTTTTTGAACAAGTTTAAGATATTTTTCAAACTGTTTATATATCAAATTATTTTATGATCATGTAATTCTGTCTTCTGAAATTATGGTGCCAGTTTTCCAGTCTATGGATATTCTTACTAGTTGAGGTTCTCTTACAACTGTATTTTCATGGCTATGAAAAAAAGGGGTTACTATTTTTTGTCTTCCTTACTTCTTTTCTCCCTCCCTCCCTTTTTTCCTTCCTTCATTTTTTTAACCTGCTTTGGGATGGATATGTTCCTCTCTGAATTACTTGAGAGACAGGACAGGCAAGGAAAGGTGTGTGACGATTAAAATATTGATCCTGAATGTCTGAAGTAGATGGGAGAAAGTGAGGTATTATCTGAGGGAAGTTGTTTCTGCAGTTTCAACAGTAAGAAAGACCTGCTGATGTTTGCTCCTGTGTCATTTCAGTTCTGAAAAGGACTCAGGGGAAGGATGATAGTGTTGGCAGATGTCCTGCTACCACCACAAGAGAACCGAAGTGAGAGTGCTGTCATGGAGCAGTAGAGCGGTCCAGACATCCCCAGGGAGCCACACCTGCTGCTCCCTTTCTGTTTGACTTTTGTCCTTTTCTGATGGCACCTGATTCTCATTTCTTCTTTTTTGCTCCAAACACATTTGCCTCTTCCCCTCCACTGCCCAACCAGCCAGCTTACAGGCCCTCTGGACTTCACACACAGATACAGACAGAGACACACACTCGCACTCACACATATGATCACATTTGAGTTCAGATTCAGAGCTGAGGTTTACAGTGGGTTGAGGCCTCTGTGATTTGACTTCTCAGCTTCTTCATGAGGCACTAGTTCAGATCATGGGAAACTACTTCCATAATGAGTGTCATGGACACTCTTGGAACTAATAAGAAGTAGGATTTTGAAGGGATATGATGTAGGGGAAGGAGCATGTTCTTTGGAGCCAGCCAGAGCTGGGAGTGACTGCCAGGCTCACTGGTAGCTGATTGTGTGACTTTCGGCATTTTTCTTTGCCTCAGTTTCCTCATTTGAAAACAAGGATATAAATAACTCTCAGAGGGCTTGGGGATGATTACATTATATAACTTAGTCAAAGAGTAAGTGGCTAGCCCAAAGGAGGCAAAATTATTTTTTGTTTCTCTTTTTCAAAGAAGTCTAGAAATATAGTAAAAATGATAATACACTTAGTGAGATGAAGTGTCATTACTTGTAATGGGAAAAGTCTCAATTGATTTGACCACCATATTTATTTAATCTTATTCTTTCAATGGAGTAGGATTTATATTAGCTTCCAGTAGAACTCTGCATTACAAGAAATAACAAAATCAGCCTTAAAAAGAGGCCCTCTCTCCCAATTTGCCCAGATATAATTGCAGTTATATTGAGAAAGAGCCCAGTCAATCTCTCTGCTATTAAAATATGTCCATGGGAAGATGGAGTGTCTTTATCTATGCCCACTGATTAAAAAATGTATGCTTTGAAGAATACTACTTAGTTTCTTAATTTTAAGAGGATGGAAGACAAAACTGGCACTTACATTTTAGTTACTATGATTCATTTAGTTTCTATGATTTTCACATATATAGTTATTCCTTGAATGGTTATATGTGTACACTTATATGGATATTACACATATTAATCATGAAATAAAGTTCATTTATATGTATGACTTGTAGAAGGAGTCATTACTTTATATCAATATTTATATACAGAATAGTTACTATTATATTGAATGATGAACCTTTACTTCTTGTTACAATTTCACAGAATAGATGTTGTCACTTCCATCCTGCCAATGAGGGATGAACGCTTTGAGGGATTGTACAACTGACGCAAGGTCACACAAGTTACAGCCAGTTAAGGACCAGAGCTGGATGTGACCCAGGCTGCCTGACGTTAGCTATGGGGAACTTTCTACTTTCTTGGCTGTCTCACTTCATGGCGATCAGCCCCTATTGCTGGTATTAGCTATATTTAAATATTCCTTTTTTTCCTTACCAATGTTGCTTATTTCACTATTTTAATGACCATTATGTGAACAACTTTTAATTCAGTATCATCAGAGCAGCAGAGTTTGGCCCATATGCTCTAAGAGCCTATACATTTCTACTCTGGGGAAAAGCCGGGTTGGGGAACCCAAAGGACACTGTCACTAATGGGAACTCATTAGGGTCGTCGCCCTGAACTAACAGACAAGTCATATCTTTCCCTGCTAGTGATCATCTCCAGCCCACTTTCATGGTGCACATAAGATATGGGGACCCAGAGCAGTTAAGTGATTAGCCAACGGCTAACACCTGGGCCCAGAACCTAACTGCCAAAAGAAGACAGAGACCTCCCCTTGGCTATAAAGCAGAGTTTGGAGACCAGGAGTGTGAATTAGACCTAGATTTATGTTGCAATTCTCTCTTGATTCTCTCTGTATAATGTACCAGCCATCTATTACCATCAGTAGTTTACGGTATCTTAGAGACAGAATCAGAGCAGCAAGTTAATGCCTTTTGTGACTAGTACAGGACCTTTACCAGAAGTTCACCATGAGTTTTTGCTCAAACTTGAGTAGGTGCTAGTTTGAAGATCATAATGTTCCATGTACCTAAAGATCTATTACAGGTGGACTGAGAATTGCAGTTAAAATTGATGTCATCTTTGTCCTCACTTATATTTCACCCGGTGTATGAATATTAATGCTAATTTTCATTTCTCTTTTGTTTGTAGTAATTCTACTTTTATTTAAGTGCTGCATCAAGGATTCAGATTATGTACTAGTACCTGGAGGACCACAGGGTAAACATCTTAAGCCAAGACACATGGGAAGACATGATAGCCATTTGCCACAGTTGCTGTGTCCTTGTTTATTTAACCCTTTTTTCCATGCTGCATATGCAGGCATAGATCTTCTCAGTAACTTCTTATTGAAAGAATGAAGACAATGATAAACATGGAAAAATAATCTGGCTTCTTATGCTTGACTAGATAAGATTGAGGACAAAGATAGTGTTGAAACCATCCAAAAGTTCTAGAGCATGGGAATAAATTGTTTAACTTCCAGCTTATATAATTCTGTAGGAAAAGATTTGCTGCTCCTTGATGACGTAATTTGTATTTGAAGATAGAATTGTTTGTTTTTATACATTAAGACTAGATCTAGTTAGTCAAAACACTTATCTAATGTGGACAAGGAAAGAAATAGGAATATATCATTCCAAAATTTTATATCTTGGGAAAGGAAAAATAAGTGAAAAACAAATTAAGCCAAGCAGTCCACATGAGCTGTACAGTTGGTAGAGAAAGAGTCACTAGAGACGGGCAGGCAGAAGCCAGAATTACTGTCAGTTCTTCAGAAAGCAGTGATCTCTAGAGGGGTAGGAAGTATAGTGCACAGAGCAGCTGTGCATCCTTCCATTACAACAGGAAGGTTAAGGTAGGTCATGAGATTCTGTGCTCCTTTCTCAGAGATGTCTCCTCCTGCCCTGTGATGGCTGTGTCTTCTGTGAAACACTGGTGAGGCCTTGCCTTCAGCTAGGGTGACTTCAATCCCCAAAAGAGATTCACAGACTGAGAAAATATGGAGAAGAAAAGGCCAAATGTTCAAGATGCAGGAGAAACGAACATAAAAGATGCTGAATTCTAAGCAATGAAGGAGTAGTGGTGAAATCATTTGGGGAAAGGGGGTCATGTGTCTATAACTATACTTTTGTTGATTAAAGTGAGAAAGAAGTTGAATAAATATCTCCTAAAACCCTATTAAATCTCCATCTGTTCAGATAAAGGCAGATTCAAAAAGCCAACACTGAGAAATGTAAGATGTTTTGAATTACATAGGATATAGAATCCTCTTTCCTAATTCATAAGTCTGTGAGAGCAACATTTTTCAACAAAACAAACAATAAAGCAAAATGAACATAATTTTAAAAACTATCAACAAATATATTTATTGTGGTGGCTTTCCCCCCTACTAGATACACCTTATTAGAAAGTAGTATCCCTTTTAGTTCCAGATGGACCATTAAGCAGGTAACAAAATTGTTTTTCCCTCAGTTGAGAAAGAAAACTCATGACTTTGCAAACATGTTATTTTCTCCTTGCTCTAGTTTTTGTTTTCTATGACATTAGAATTTTCTTCTAATAAGTATGCTTTTGTTTCTGGGAGTAGTTACAGGTACATGTTTACAGACTTATATAACCCAAGGGTAGCAGAGGCTGAACCTCACAGTGCTGATATAGATTGGAGACCTGTTCCAGGTAATCACAACCCTTCACAGTTTTTGTACAGCACAAAAATTATCTCCAACTCTATGCTTTCTTCCACATTTTGCTTTTCTCCAATCCCATCTGTTGTATGTAACTCTCATGCTTCTTGCTGAAGGACAGGATGAGGGCAAAAGAACCAATCTTAAAACAGTTGTTTCTGTGGCGGTAATTCCTAGGATTCCAAATGCCGGGCCCTAACATCTGAGCACTTTCTAGATCTTGTGGACAAAACAACACTGTCCTTTGAAAGATATTTCTCTCCCCACATCTCTCCTTTGTTTTGAAGGGACACTACATCTTTGAATTTGCAAAACTATCTTTTGCTTCTTAAAGCAGTAGCTTGAAAAAACCTTTTTATAGGGAAATGATGTTACTTCTCTAGATGTCATCCTTATGCTTATATCTTCCTGCCTATTGAAAGTTATGTACAAAATTTATTGTCTCTTAAAAATGCACAGAAGCATGTAAGGTAGCCATTTGAAAGCATCCCTTCTTTGAATTTTTGGCTCTTTGTTGTTAACTATGCTTGTATGAAGAATATAGCAACTTTTCAGAATGTTGTTTAGACTGAGCAGTAGCTGATACGTTGTCCATTTGTGGTCCTAATGGCTAGAGCACCTGTCCTGGGCATCTGGTTGAGATAGCAGCATCATGAGTCTATAAAAATCTCATGGGACCTTCTAGTGTACAGTGCTGACTGATACCGATTTCTGTTGTTTATCTTGGACCTTCCGCTTCTTCTGCTGCTGTTTGTCTTTGTTTTCTTGTTGTTCTGGAGTTTCTCTGCTAGGTTCCAGACCTTTGTTATCAGGTATTGCGTCCTTATTTTCTTCTTTATTAATTTTTTTCCTTTTTCTCTCCCTTCCTTTTTTTCCTGAAATGAAAGGATACACCTTTAAAAAAATAACATTCAATCATGTTCTGTTTGGTCATTCTAAGTTTTTAAAAAGGAATCAGATTTCTCTAGTTCAATTAGGTTGCATACCATACCTGTAGATACCAAAAAAATCTATTTAAATGATTCACTCAACTGCTTCTTATTAAGTCTGTACTATATTTCAAAGCAATGTAAACATGAAACACATACAAACTGTAATGAAGTAATTCATATATTTTTATAGTTCTGAATTCTAGAGGGTTATATTGTTATAACTGGTAATTATTTTACATGATATATATTTATGGATATTTAATACAAAGTCTTGAGAAGATTTCTTGCCATGTAGGAAAGATATTTATTAGTGTGTATATGGTATCTGGCTCCTATTTAAGGCACTACTTTGTGATCAAGTTTTTCTAAGTAGCAGTCAACTATTTGCAATCTGCTGATATATATGTATGCTATGTACTAGAACTGAACTGATTTGGTTACAAATATGCAAATAAGAGCTCATGAGGAATACTAAGATAACTGTATTTTAACACAAATACTTATATGTTAAAATTAATTTCCATTGCAGTTTCTCTACATGCAGAGGGCATTTTGACTACAAGTTACCAATAAGCCTCTGAAATAAGCTTACAACAGCAAGGACTTTGTGTCTCTATCAATCAAATGAGTTGATGTGTATTGGATATATACTGGAATATATGGAGGCCCCTGACCTTGAATTGGGTTTGAAGCATAGATTTAATTCAGATTCACACTATGAGGTATTTTAAAAAGTGGCAACACCATGACTTTAAAGGTTTTTGATGTGGGAAGACATATTGAAAGGTAGACTGGAGTCAAGGTGAATTGAATTTCATTCTGTTGGCATTGGAGAACCACTCAGACTTTTATAGGAAGAGAATATTTCAATCAAAGTGCATGAGCTTCGCACCAACTTGGATGGATTGGTTAATTTATGTCTAAATAGTGAATTTACTAGATTACTTATTTTCATGTAAACATTTTATGTATACAATCTACACCATAAAATAATTTCTGAGGGAATGGTTTTAATAATGTCCATTAACACATATACCCTAGTGAAAAATCACTGATTTAAATCAATATTATGGTAAATGAAAACTAGGAACTGATGACTCCTTGATATGGGACAAATTCTGATAATACATATTGCCCCATACTGAGCCATGTAAAATTTTAAATTAGTCCCTGTCTACAAAAAGTCACTTCGGAAAAAAAATTTTAGAGAAATTATTTGCATGCGAGAACCAAAATATTTCCATGTCCTGAAATAAGCTGCAAATATTAAATTCTGTGGTTTGGCTTTCCTTTTCTTGAGCTCTGGTTTCAGAATCTTAGGGAGCAATATTATTAATACTGTTTATGTATAGTTGGCCAACATAGTCTCCTTGGATTAATGATTTTATGCTACAGCACAATGACTTTATGCTCAGCTTAGTCTGAGACTGTATTTACAAAACCTTTCAGTTCCTTTTTGTAAATTCTCCATGTTGGGCTCAACATAACATATTTCCAAATTCCAAATATGATAGGAGAAGAGATAACAAAAATGAGAATATTCAGACCACTGTAAAGCAAATTTCAGTCAAATTGTTCTGGATATGTAGAGCCGAAAAAAGAATATCAGAGTCAACTCTTAGGCCTAGGGTTGAGCTAGTTGTATACTGATTCACCAATTCCATTCTTCTTGGTCACTGAACAGACAAAATTGAAGAGTGAATTTACCTTCATGAATATGTAGCATAATTTAATTTCATAAAGCTGTACAAACCGAAAGAGAGAAATGCTGACTTACACAGTATATATTTGGTTTTCAGAAGGACATGGCTGCAAAGGTTAGATTACATAAGATTTCCATTTTGAGGAGCATTTTGGAGGTGTTCAAGTTCAACTCTAAAAACATTGTCAGTGAAAATTATTCCAAAGGTCCGTGAAAACTATTGATCCCAAACAAAATGTTACTTTTGCGGAAATCATCTAAAAGTTCAGTGTTTGACATTGTTCTCTTTATGATGGTCCAACATCTTACAGCTGTGATCCCAACTATAATGCTTTGGACACATTAAGAAATATATTGCTTTGATCTTGGTCACAGATTGATTTATCTGTTTTTTTAGCTACACGTGACAACATACTAGATTTAGAGTGCATTTCTGCTTATTAGCAAACTGATAGGATTATTTCTTAAGACAGGCAGAAACATTTTTGGAAGTAGCTTGAAACTCAGCATTATAGTTTTATTATCCAAGGAATAACTGTTTAGTCTGGGCAGTGAGTGAAAGGGGAGGTGCTAGTAAAGTAACAGGAAACTAGCACATTGTACATTGTTGTTGCCCCACAGAGGGTTATTGCACAACAGAAAAATGGGATTATTATTTTTTACATGCCATGTGTTAGTGGTTGGAAATGTTAACTACCCCTTTTCATAAATAATATATTTTTCCCTTGTCCAAGAAATAAAATAGCAGTGCAGAAAAGTGGCTCTAGTCCATTAAAAATCACGTGTAATTTGGGAAATTTTGTAAGGTTTTCATTAAAGGGGACTTTTTTCTATGCTGATGACTTTTCATTGATGTGGTCAGTAGTTATTTTTATACTTTTATGGAGTAATTTTGCAAATTAAGCATTCCAGTTATCACAATCTAGCATATATGTTTGTATTTTGTCATTCTCTGATTACCCATGCATTCCCATGATTAAAAGAAAGTCCATTTTTTCTTGATGTTCTAACTATGAGAGTGGTGTTTGGATAGAAACCATCCAAGAGAAATTGCTATTACCAATCAAATTTAACCTGAGCCTTTTGAGGGAAGCACTATGGTGTAACATTTTTGTTTATAGAGTCAGAAAAACACAGTCATATTCTAGGTCTGCTACCAATAGGTTGTGTGACTTTTGGCAAGTTGTTGATATCTCTCAGGATTAACTGTCTGATATTAAAAATGTGGATAATCATTACTATTTGCTTAAGTTTGTGAGGATTACACAAGATGCTTATAAAGCACTTAACAAAGTGCCTGGTACATATTAATCAAGGGAGAAATGAAAGCTAATGTCATTAGCTCATGATGCAAACATGAATTAAACCTCTACCCCATGCCAAAAATGTGCTAAAACTTGGGGATACAAGTGAGATACAAAGACAGACACAATATAGTTACGTGCTAATGCTTATATAAGGGCAGGTACACGATCCTTTTGGCAGTACAGGAAGGAAAGCATTGACTCTGCCAATGGAGATCAAAAAAGACTCCCCAGCTGGGGTGATGTCTGAGCTGGGTAAAGAATGACAGAGTTTTTGCCAGGGTGATGAGGGAAAAAGGACATGTCAGGCAGTGAACAACATGTCAATGGCATGAAGGCATGCAAGGCCACGGTGAATCCAGGGAACTGAAAGTAGACTTCCTTGGTTTGATCAGAGTCTATATATAGGCTATTACCCAGAGATGCTTGAACGATACACTGGACTTGATTGCCATGTTGGGAGTTTGTCCTGAGGATGAAAGGTACTGAAACCTGGAGAAGGGCAAGTACCAGAATCTGAGAGAAGGGCAGAGTTTGGATGTTTCTGTGACTAGTTTAGAAAAGGCCAATAGGATATTCTGACATTTGACCTTATTTCCTATTTCAGAAACACTTCTGTAAGTAATAAGAACCCACAGAGCAAGTGTAGGTAGTGACTGGTATTTATTCTTTTAACTTTAATGTTTTAATAATAGTAACTGAAATCTCTGTGCAGCTCATATAGCCACATATCATTTAAGATTTCACTGCAAACCAATATCACATGGTTGAATATATGATAGGCATTTTAAAAATTCTGGAATTATTTCCTATTAATACAAAAATACATAGTCATTTATACAAGCACCTCCTAAGGTCTTCTGCAGACCAGGTTTCCAAGCATAGACGACTTTGAAAAACACAGATTCCCAGGCACCTTCCTAGAGATTATGATTCAGTAGTTCTTATGATGGGCCCAGGAACTTGTAGTTAATAACAAGTTCACCCTCAGTTTACTCTGATAGGCAGCCTCAGTTAAGAGCCAAAGCTCTAGATCAATAGAAAGATCCAGTATCTTTAAACATATACCCTCAAATTTTCACATCGCATGTTTTTCATTTAATTTCTAGTATTTTTTACCCAATGGAAATCAAGTACATTTTTAAAACTTAGGGTTGCTACTCATTTTTAAGGCATTAGGTACATTTAGAATAGACACATAAAAAATGAAAATTCATTGCAGATTGTTTTTCTAAAACTTGTTCAAATAGAAATACTAACTATAAAGAACAAACATGTAAGAAAGAGCGAAAACAAAAGATGAGCCTCAATTATTTTTTCCTAAGTTTTGTATTGCATATTTAAGTTTCAAGTGAAAATAAAAACCATAAAAAATGTTCAATTACCATTTTAATTGTAATGGAGATATGAATAAAAACAGCTGTACTCCCTAGAATCACAAATGTAATTTATTTATTGAAATTACTGAAATTATGAGTTTCAGCTCACAATTTTCTGGATGTTTGGAAAACCTGCCTGTTATCTTTACAAAAGCTTCCTCTTGGTGAATTTTGTGAAAGACACCACTAAGGGGAGCCATTGAGCTTTAAGCAGCCCCACATCACAAACTAAATTAAAAATTTTCTCAAAAAGCTAAAAATGTGTCCTACACTGTAGACTGGGTACTAAACTAAACTAAACCATCACTGAATCTACAACTCAAACCAATTAAACAAATATCTCAATAAAAATACACAATTTATCACTAGATCTTTTTCCTTAGATGTGGAATGAAATTCTATAGGAAACCCACAGCTTTATACCTTCACAAAAGCACACATGGTGTGAAAATGGGGTTAATCTGGTGATTTTTGAAACTTAAGTTGACCTGATTTTTATATATAGTGAATGGTCCTTTTAGTTAAGATAACACTGGAGAAATTTTGCAAAGGAGGGAA